CAGTAGCAGTGGCAGAGTTTAATAGGACAGCAAATAATAAATGTTGGAGAGGAAGTGGTGAGAAGTCTTTTACATTATTGTTGGGGTTGTACAATGGTACATCCACTCTGGAAGGCAGTTTGGCACTTCCTCAAAAAGCTGAACATAGAAAATCCCTATGACACAGCTATTCCACTGCTTGGGTATGTTGTTGTTATGTGCCGTCGAGCCGCTTGCGACTCATAGCAACCCTATGTACACAGCCCCGAACCTTGCTCTATCCAGTGCCAATCGCACTGCCTTGTGACACACCCATCCCGATTACCCCAGTCACTGAATCAGTCCACCTCATAGAGGGTCTTCCCCTCTTGTGCCGTCCCTCCACCCTCCCAAGCATGATGTCCCTCTCCAAGGACCTGTCCCTCCTTACAACATGTCTAAAGTATGTCATATGAAGCCCCAGAATCCTTGCCTCCAAGGAGCAGGCTGGTTTAACCCTCTCCAGGATGAATCTGTTTTCTTGGCAGTCCATGGTACACTCTTCTCCAGCACCACAGCTCAAACACATCAGTTTTCCTTCTATCCTCCTTGGTCGTTGTCCAACTCCCTGATACATAACAAGTGATTGGAAAGTCCATGGCCTGTACCAGACACACCTTAGTCTCCAGAGAGACACCATTGCTCTTCCGTACTTCGGAGAGGTCCCTAACAGCAGACTTTCCCATTGCAATATGTTTTTTTATTTCCTGGCTACTGGTGCCAAGAGTGTTGACTGTGGAGCCAAGCAGACTAAAGTTGTTAACAATCTCAATCTCTTCACCATCCATCCTGATGCTGCCAATTGGTCCAGTGGTGAGAATCTTTATCTTTTTGACATTGAGCCTCAATCCATACTGAAGGTTGCAGTCCTTGACCCTCTGTAGCAAGCATTTCAGGTCCTCTTCAGTTTCAGCAAGCAGGGTTGTGTTATCTGCATAACACAGATTATTAATAGATCTTCCACCAATCCTGATGCCACACTTCTCATAGAGCCCAGCCTCTCGGATAATCTGTTCTGCATACAGATTGAAAAGGTGATAGGACACATCCCTGGCGTATACCTTTCCCAATTTTGAACCATGCAGTGTTTCCCCAAGAAAATGAGAACTGATCCTCAAATGGAAACTTGTATACCAGTGTTCATAGTACCATTATTCACCATCACAAGAACATGGGAACAGCCCAGGAAATATAGTCTCACTTGCATGAAACACAAATGTATAGAAAGCAAAACTTACTAGTACTTAATAAGGGTGAAAGGAAAAATGCTGTTTTGTGGGTACTGAATTTTTTTTAATGGTGGTGTCATGTTTGGAAAAAAAGACAATGATAATGGCCACACACACATAATGCTGAATGCACTCCAGTGAATTACAGATACACATTTTGTTGAATTGGCAAATATTTGGTAATACATACTTTTACTACAGGTTTTTAAAATACAGTGTTAAGTGAAAATTATTGCAGGCGTAGAGGCTTATAGGTATAACAGAATATTGTCTGACTTGCTTACATTGAACGTATCATGATGAGGGATCAGTCACTGGAGGAGGACAACAGTGATTAACTTGAACATGCTGATGGTTGCGAGGATAGCACAAAATGAAGGCAGTCTTATACTCTGCTGTGTATAAAGTCACTATGAGTTTAAAACTCAACATCATTTGGTAGGTATTTTTGTTTTTTAATGAAAGTGGGTTTTGTTTTTCCAGTGAGAAGGCTTCATTGCGCAAATATCTTTACATAAACAGGAAAAACCTCATCAGTAATAATTCTTAAAGTTCAAAATTGTTTTTGCATCAATGTTTGACTTTTACTGACTAGTATAAACAAGTAAAGGCATCAGGTACAAGTCCAGTTGGAAAAATTACAGTTCTTAGTTCAAAGAGCAAGAGCTCTAGGATACTTAGGGCTGCGTTTCCCCTTTGTGGATCTTTTCATTTTCAGAAAAGTCTTCCCAGGAAGTTTTAGAAGCTGAGCAGAATTTTTCAGTAGTGATGCTCAAAGGACTCTGATGTAAGAACAAAATAGTTATTGGATTGGGATTAAAAAAACAGAAAATGCAAACTTCTTTGCAGTTTTTCATGTATAAAAATAGTAAGGGAGCTGTAGTGGCCTAAAGGCAAGAAGCTGCGCTGCAGTCCCGAAGGTGCACCTTTCGAATCCACCAGATGCTCCTCCTGTGCCAGTCAGATATGACTCTATGGTACACAACAATAACCAAAAAGTCTTAGTAAAGAATACCCAGTTTTAAGGAATTGCACTGCCAATGCAAAGATATACAGTTCACATCTATCAGTTGTTCTGTAGGAGAAAGATGGGCAGTCTCCTCCTGTGTGATTTATTGCCACTAAAAACCCACTGGAGGATCAGCTGTGAATCATTTGCGAGTCAAGAATACTTAGCAACAAAATGGAAAAAACCAAAGGCTGAGGAAACTAGTCCATGTGACTAATAACCTTCATGAACCAGAACTGCTGCTAACTTGAGATCGAAGAACTAGGTGGTGCCCATGTTTCTGACCAGGGACACAGTAGAGGTTCATATCTAAACAGATGTATATAAATTTCAAACAGGAAAGCATATGTGAGATCTGTAAAATAAGAATACAAAAGTCGTCCATCTAATTTGTAGTAAGTGAATGCACATTAGCAGTTGAATAAATTATCTATTAACCTCACAATGAAGAATAATGTTGCTATATACAATGAAAATGAACCATACAGATATTAAGTTAAACTAGATACGAAAGCTGTCATTTCATACATATAAACACTTCGAACAATACTTAGTAATTGATGTCAGAATAAAGTGGTATGTTATGACTGGGAAAATAACCTAAATTGATATTTTAGTATGTTAAAAATAGTTTATATATCTGATTGTTGTACAAGAGTACGTATTATTTTTTAAAAAATCTATTGAGTTCTATGCTTAAAATTTGTAAACTTTGTGTATTTTTTTTTGCATTTGATATTTTCTTTTTTTATTTTATTGATATTTTAATGAACATTTACAGAAAACTTGGATTTCCATTCATTCATTGCTACACATTATTCTCCCTACACGCACCACACCCCCCCCAACAGGTCACTTTTCTTTTCTTTATTTTTTTTAATTAATATTTTGTATTGGGAAAAACATATTGGGGGTACAAGCAGGTGAGGGTTGAGGGCAAAAGGGTGAGGATGGGCCAGGATGCAGTTGCAGAGATGCACAGTTTGGTCCGTGGGGGGAGCAGGTGACGGAAATGATGAGGGTCCAGTGGGGACCAGATGCTACAGAGGAATGACAAGCATTTTCCAATAGTAATTAAACCAACTGTCTTATTGATTTGGGAATTGGATGCCGACTCTCTGGCTTCTTCATGCTGAACAGGGGTGTAGATATAAAGGGGGGCAGGGAGGATGCTTTATCACCTTACTGGTGGTCTTGGGTTACAGCTGCTTGCCTTCTTGCTCCTGAGGGCCGTGACGGTTCGCCCCGAGCTGGGGGCCAAGGGCAGCCCAGCCTGGGCAGAGGGTCTCGACGGCTCGCCCCGGGCAGGGGGCCGAGGGCAGCCCACCCCAGACAGAGGGCCACGATGGCTGAAGTAGTCTTTTTTTAAAAAAGAAGAAGAAAAAGTGTGTGTGTGTGTGTGTGTGTGTGTGTGTGTGTACCATCAAATTGTATCTGACTGGTACAGGAGACTGCCTCTCCTTCTCCAGCAAAGCATGAAGTAGAGTCTGGGGTATTTTTCCCCCCCAGGTGCCTGTCGGGGCCTGGGTTTCAGCTGTCCACACCACAGCAGTGGGCAACGATCTTAAAGCCCCTGATGGCTCTGGGCGCTGACTCTCACCAGTGGCTATGGATAAAGTCACAGGCGATTTTCAGCCAGCGCCGGTGTGTATATTTTTTTAAAAAAATATTTCTTTTCTTGTGTACTGTCAAATCAGATATGACTGGCACAAGAGGAAGTTGCCCCTCCTTTTCCAGCAGAGCATCTGGTGGATTTGAACCGCGTGCCTTTGATTTTGCAGTGTAGCTTCTTGCCATTAGGCCACCAGAGCTCCCTCTGTGTTTATTTTTTCATTCAGAACAAAATACTGAGGCACAGGGAGAATTTTTTATCAACAGACAATTGCTAAGAAATTCTAGTTAGATAGAATATTTCAAATTGAAGACTTAATATGTATGATTAGAGTCCAGTATGTCTCAGGCTCAAAAGACTTCTGAGCAAATGATATAACATCTGCCTTACTTTCTCTGATGGATGTGGACTGATTAATCTAGGTCACTTCTGATCCTAAAATTTGTTCTGGAGAATAAATTTGGAACATTAAAGAATTCATTAAGAGACCTTGCATAGAGATACTATTCTTTAAGTAAAATTTTAGTTTGAAGGATAAATTTAATAGTACACCAGAGACAAGGGAAACAGCTTTATATATGAATCAAAGCAAAACTGAAAAAACCTTGAAAATTTGTAGGTGTTCTTAACACGTTGCCGAAAATGACGGCAAATGTGTTTCTAAGCATGGTCGTCGATTTAAAAAGTGTGTGGCAAGGTGTTAAGCAATAGAGTAGAACTCTGACCTTACATACATTTATCAGTATCCTTCCAGGAGGTGTATGTATGATCTCATTTCTTTTTCATATCTGATGAATGAAGTATCATTCCCAAATTATAGCTAAGAAAACCGAGACAGAGTTTAATATACTTGGGCAATCTAGTAAATTTAGGAAATTGTGCTTGAGGAATCTGACTTAAGGGTTGATGATTACAACATTGCACAGCTTAAAGGACCATTAGTTTACGTGTTAGCCCTATGGAATACCAGTCACGTAGAATTTGCAATGGATTGTTCTGGAATTGTCGATAAGTACACTATATCACCAGTCTCTTTAAACAAGTATAGATGTGCAAAGTGAAAGTTCCAAATATTTTTCTGTGTACATTTTTTAATTTCTTCCATGACTTTTTCTTGTGTTTTACTTTTAAGATTCTTGGATCTCCCAGTCAGCATCATTTCCTCGTAATCAGAAACAACCAGAGGTAGAGTCTTTATCACCAGTGGCCTTACTTCCCAAGATTTTCCAGCCTTCTCTCGAGCAGCAAGTTACTAAATCAGCTAAAATCACTTGTGCAAACTGCAAAAGACCTTTACAGAAGGGGCAGACAGCTTACCAACGAAAAGGATCAGCCCACCTCTTTTGTTCTACCACCTGCCTTTCCTCCTTCCCTCATAAGCGTGCTCCAAAGAAACGCAGTGCAATGTGTAAAAAGTAAGACTTAACCTTTCACCGTAACTGTATGTGGTTGAATATTGGTGGCATAAATTAATATCCTGAATTTAGAGTTAGTGGAATTGTTGCCAATACCATCTTTAAATTGATTGAACTTGGATTATCCCAGTGTATTACAGAGGTGTGTACTCATTTATGCTAAATTTACTCTTGGCAGGTACTCATTTATGCTAAATTTACTCTTGGCAGGAATATAGAGTCAATATGGAAGTAAATTGACCCTCTGACTATCTTGCTTCCCCCTGACCACAGCCCTACCTTCTACCTCAGGTCTACGAAATTGCTACAAGTATTTTTGAATGTTTATAAAAATCTAAGATTTGAGATAAAGCAAGGTTCTACAAAAAAATTTCTGTGTATGTCAGACAAAATTTTTTTGTCTCTTATCTTTAGTTTCTATATTATTTAGTAACTTGGCAATGAAGCCAAATCCAAAAATATAGTTGATGCCTAGGGCTAATTCATGAAAATGCCAGTTATTATACAATTATTTTGCTTCTTTCTGCTAATACAAGATGTTTGAAAATTGTGTTTATATTCCCTATATTTCAGAAATGCACCTGCAGAGAAGGCTGCTGCTATTGCTCAGGTGGATTCTAGCAAATCTTCTCAAGAATTTTATAATACCTCTTCATTGTCTCCCTATGAGGACAAACAGAATCTTGGAAAAAGAGTTCTGAATAAATCGAGGTGTACAATCTGTAATAAAATAACAGAGGTCTGTATTTTTATACTTTATTTAAGTTATATAGACAAATGGGTAATTTTAACTTTAAATGTCATTTGCCAGGTTATCTATACAGTGACTCCACAGGATGACTGTACAGTGATATTTAAGGGAAGAATAAGAATATGTTCAAATATTCTATTTGCAAAATACACGTTTGTTTCTGTGTTACTACTAGGTATACTCATAAACTAGGCAATAATTTGTGGTGTAAGTTTTATAGTATTGTAATACTTCGGCTAGTAGCATTGAATAAAATTGTAGTTTGATGACATGACAAAAACAACAAATCCTGGTTTAAGAACATAGAAAACAAGTCGAGTGAATATATGTTGAGAACATCACACTACTTGAATGGTGTTCGTCTTTACAGTTGCCAAAAGCAGTAAGCATGCTGTTTATCCAATTCTAACCAGATTTGATCTTAAGAGACCACAAAGCCATGCAAACTGAAGAAAGTTTTATCTAATCATGGAACTGTGCAAAATGAATTTTGCTTTAGATTTTTCTAGGAAAATTAATTATTGCTTTTCGTTCTGTGAATGTTTATTTCCTCTTTGGTAAAATCAGTTGAAAAAAATGCCAATGTACACTTAAAAAAATCTTTTTTCTCTAAATAGATCTCCTGCTGAGAAATTATTAGGGGCTTTTTTTCCGTTTTAAGCAGCTTGTTTTCATTACCCACCATACTTTTCTGGTTTGTGTATTTTTAGATTCGCCATGAAGTCGGCATTAATAATGTAACTCATAAACTCTGCAGTAACCAATGCTTTAATAAGTACAGATTGGCCAATGGTTTAACAATGAATTGTTGTGAACAGTGTGGTGAATACATGGCCAGTAAAAGTGCTGGAAACGATGTCCTGATGATTGAAGGTCAGCAGAAGAGATTTTGCTGCCAAAGCTGTGTTAGTGAATATAAACAGGTAATTATTTTTAATGAGCTTTAAGTGATAAAAATACATAATAGCATCCTCTTGTTGGCTTATATTAACCAAATTTACCTCAAAATCTTATTTAGTTCTTTGTTTTTTTGTCACTATCATTGACTGTCCCAATTCAAGTGAGCACTGAAATACAATCATGCGCCGCATAATGTTCGGACAGTGTCCAACCACCTGTATGTCCATGGTCCCATATGTTTATCATTTATAGTTAAGAAATCTCAACTGGACAATAGAATGTAGTGGACATACCTGGACGTAGCAGACACAACAACTTCTTGCATGCAACATATATATCTTATTTCTTGTATACAAAGCGGTTGCAACTGTCAGGTGGATAATGTACAGTACATATATAACCTATAATATATGTCTTGATAGTGTAAAAACACTTAAATTTCTGGCTTATATATGTACTATACTTTATATTATTATGTTAATGTCAATTTTTCCTACTTAATAAATAAATGAAAATTTACTGTATATTAGCATATCTTTCAACTGTAGGCAGCAGCATCTTATCTTGTGTCTCACGCGTCTCTTGAGTGTTGTAGTATTATCTCTCTGTTTAATTTTCTTTCGAAAATATAACCGTGAAGTGCATCATGGCTCCCAGACTCAGCCAGACCAGTGCTAGTGATAGCAGCAACAAGAGGCAAAGGAGAAGTATCGATCTGGAAGTGAAGCAAACAGTTATTAAACTGCATGAAGGAGGAAAATCAGTGAATGCTATTGCTCGAGATTTAGGCATGTCTCACTCAACAATCACAACAATCCTCAAAAACAAAGAAAAAATTCTCCGAGCTGTTAAAGGATCGGCTCCACTGAAAGCTACAAGGCTAACGAAAATGAGAGAGGGGCCTATATCCTACATGGAGACATTGCTAATGACATGGATTGAGGACCAAACGCAAAAGCGAATCCCTCTCACCACATCGGCAATCACTGCTAAAGCACGAAGCTTGTTCGAGATGCTTAAAGAAAAAGCAGGACCAGACTACAATATCGAGTTTAGTGCTAGCTCTGGGTGGTACATGCGCTTCAAACAACGTTTTTCGCTGCATAATGTGAAAGTGAGTGGTGAGTCTGTATATAGTAGTGTATATTTACAATGTATTATGTTCTTGTTACTATTCTTGTACTGTACTTGAGTTTTCATTTCTCTTCTACAAACACTTAGGAGTTTGATTGCTAGATTTGGTAGAAAATACGCTTAATTTTATAAGATGCTGCCAAACTCCAAAAATGTATCATTTTGTGGCCTTAACCAATAGTGTTGAGATACCTAGTTTAATACTGTCAGTTTTAGTAATTTAGACCATTGGGATTAGGCATGTTGTAGTCAGTGAGACTAGCTCAGGATAGAGCAGGGTTCAGAGCTATTGTACATGGTGTCTCTGAGGCGCAGATGACTTAATGGTACATAACAACAACAACAACAGGGATATAAAATTATTTCATTACAGCTTTAATTTGTGTTCCCAGAAGCAAATATATTGTACAGTATTAACCAACTTTAACCCATATATTACCTTACCAGGTGCTTTAGCTAAAAATACAGTTTTGTATGTGTATAATATCTTAGCTTTATAATCAATATAGGTACACTACAGTGGCCTGTGTAACTTTGCTCAGTATATAATAAGGTATTTGTACAACACCCAAGTATGTAACGTTCTATTTCACAGAACGTATCATGGACCTTAAGAGATGCTTGACAACTTACAGGTTATTGTAAATAAACTTGTTTAAAATGTTTACTTTTTGTAGATCTTATAGTGAAGTCATTTTTATTTTAATTTCCCTGAAAATCAAATGGAATTAGACTTGGGTAGAATTAGTTCATAGATTATTATGCCTTTGAGTTTCATTTTTAGACTTAATGTGTTTACTGTGATAGAACTAGCTAGAGTGACCACCTTGTAGGGGAAAATTACATGTAGAAATTACTATGTGTCCCAATATTTATTCAGTTATAATTTACATAAAGTGAGATCACCAGATCTTAAAGAAAATTGTACAAGCCTGCTCAAAATGAGATACAGAACTCCTCCTTAAATTCCTTTATGCTCTCTTTGTCAGTCTTGACCCCTCCCCTGCATTTTTTATAGGAAACCAAAATCTGCTGTCCCCACAGATTAGTTTTGCATGTTCCTGAACTTCATAGAAATGGAACTTGGGGATTTTTTTTTTAATATATAATATTTGTACACTTATGTGTGACTTCTCATGTTTATCATGTGGTTTTGAGATTCATCCATGTTGTACGAGTTCATGCCTTTTTATTACTGAATGTCTTTCTGTTGTGTGACTGTACCACATTTGTTTATCCATCTATAAGTGGATATTTGTGCTGTTGCAGTTTCTTATTATAGGAATGACTACTGTTAATATTCTCATGCTGTAGCCAAGTTGTGGGCGAAGGATGGGCAATCTCTATCTATGCAAATCTGCCTCTGGAAACCCACTAGAGGGTCAGCTATGGGTCGGTTCCAACTCGAGGGCACACAGCGACATACCCAAGTTAAGGAGCTCTGGCACTGTGCTGCGCTGCCAATGACAGGTCAGCCGTTACAAACCGCTGGCTGATTTTAGGAGAAAGATGAGCAATCTCTTCCTGAATTTTACAGCCTCAGAAACCTAATAGAGAGTGATGCTGAGTCGAAACCGACTCGGTGACACTGGATGTTTGAATTTGGTATACCCAAGTTTATAATTTTTTTTTTTTCAGTAAACACATGGGAGTTTGGTTGCTCCATTGAGTAGATACATGTTTGTTTAACTTTGTAAGAAACTGCTAAGTTGTAGAATGTACCATTTTGTACTCCCAAACAACAATAGTTCCAGTCATTCTACACTCTTACCAAAGTTTTATATTAGTCTTACTTAATTAGACCATTCTAAAACTTTGAAATTATTTTGTTGTAGTTCAATTTGCACTTCCCAGATTATTACAGTCTTTTTCTTCTTTTGTAGGATGTCTATTCAAGTCTATCCCACTTTTTAAATCTATTTTTAAACGTTCTTTAATATAGGTAGCATACATATCTTTGTAAAATAAATGTTTTTTGGAAGATTTTTCTCCAAAATGGTGATTATTCTTAATGTTCCTTTTTGAAAACCCAAATTTTTCATTTCATTTTAGTCTTGTTTATTTTTTGGGTTTCTTATTAATTAATGGTTGTTTGTGCTGTAAGAAATCTTTGCTTATCAAGTTTATCCAAATACTTCTTTCTTTTTTTCTTTTAGAAATTTTATTTGTTTTAGCTCTTATATGATCCTTTTGGAATTTTGTGTGTGATATTAGATATGAGTTAAAGGATTAAAAGCTACCTGATTCCAAGACTAGCTCCAGTAGTCAAGACAGTATTGTGATAATGGGTATAAGTATAAACAGATCAATGGAATAGGGTGATCAATCCAGAAATATATCTAAAAATATAAAACCAGTTTACTTTTATAATTGATAAAGGTACCAGGGTGATTCAATGTAGACAGCAAAGTCTTTTTAACAAATAGTGTTGTATTAGTCTTTTATGTGAAAATAAATGGAAAAATTCAAATGCTTAGCAAACTTAGTCATAAATAAATAAAATAAAATAGTTTTGAAGCCATCTCATTCCACACAAAATTAATGAGAATGTAAAAGCAGAAAATTCTTAGCTCAAATTTAATTGTGTAAAGATTTAAGGTTTTTGCTTAAATTGTCTTTTAAAAGACTGAGCAGAATTGGGGGAAGTGATTTAACATTAGACTGTAAGGATACTCTGATGGCCTAGTGGGTAGGGAGTTTTTCCTAGAAAAATAGGACATAAAAATGAAAAACATCAAAATAGGCAATAACCATATACCCAGAATCTTTTTTATTAAATATATTTCCTGACATTACGATCTCTAAGAGGGAAGTATTCCCCTCCCCTTCCCCCCTCCTTGTTGTGTTCTGTCAAATCAGATCTGACTGGCATAGGAGGAGATTGTCTCTCATTCTCCAGCGGAGCATCTGGTGGATTCAAACTGTTCCTCTTTGGGATTGCAGCGCAGCTTCTTTCCACTAGGCCACCAGAGTTCTCTTATTTTTACTATCAGTTATATTTCAGTGATATAAAAATAGGTCATAAACAATTGTCTACTGTAAGAACAATGTTTCCATATAAGATTCATTGTTGTGGTGGTGGTTTACCTTCCAGTCTGAACCTACCCGTAACTGACTTACTCTCCAGCAGGTTTTTAAATTCAGTTAATCTCATGGAAGGAGACTGACTGTCTTTCTCCCACAGCACATCTGGTGAATTTGAACTGCCTACCTTTGCATTGGCAGCATAATTCCTTACTACTGAGCCACCAGTCTTCCCTGTGAGTCGTTATTGTTGCTAGGTTCTGTGAGTCAAAACCGACTCATAGCTGACTGACTCTCTAGTGGGTTTTCAGTGACATTAAGTCACATGGGAGTTTATTGCCCATGTTTCTCCACCAAAGCAGCTGGTGGATTTGAATAATGTGCCTTTGGGTTGGCAGTACAGCTTCTTCCCATGATGCCACAAGAACTCCCTTTAAGTACAAATATACAAGTCTTATAAATGTGCAAGTTTTCCTTAAATTATCTAAGAAAACTGTTTTCTTGAAAATTATGCCCTAGATCAGATTTTTAAATTTTCATGAAATTGCTCTCTATTGGGAATGGCAAATTCTGAGGTTCTAAGTCTCAAAAGAAGAACCATGGTCCCAAAGATTGAAAGCTACAAAATATCTACTTACTGTGATCCTAAGTATAAATGGTCATGATGATTTAATTCAACTAGTATTTGTAGAAAAACCAAAATTTAAGGGGAGCTCTGGTGGCCTAGTGGTAAGGAGCTGCAACTACAATCCCAGAGGCTCATGGTTCTAATCCACCAGATGCTCTGCCGGGAAAGGAGGAACAATCTCCTCCTGTACCAGTCAGATCTGATTTGACGGTACACGCACACAAAAATAATAAAATAAAAAGGAAAAAAACACCAATATTTATTGCTAATTTCTTTTCTATAAAGAACAATAATATAGTACACATGATCAAATAGTGAATTGCCTTTATTCTAAAAAAGATTTAATGGTTCCCTTTTTTTCCATTAAGAAAAGCACATTTCTTCAATCTGAGACTAATTATTTGAGATTACAGAGGAAAATCTGTAATATCCATTTAAGTGTTCCACAGCTATGTCTGAAAGCAACTTTCAGACTTTCATGTACATTTAGTTTTTAGTAGACCTAGTGTTTGTTTGTTTGTTTGTTTGTTTCTCTTCTACCTAGAAGTGGAAATTTTGAGGAGCAGTGATTTTTCACATTGTACCATCAATATAGGAAGGATCTAATTTCCAGGACTTCCAACAGATCCTTTGTGATTTATTCATAATTGAGGAAGCAAAACTGAAACAAATTTTTGCTGAGCTGTAGGTATAACTGAAACAGGAGCAATTAGATACAATCCCTAATAGAAACTTAATCTCCGTCTTTGATAACAAGACAATGTACCTGCTGCATAACAATCAGGTTTTTTGCCTTCTCTTCCCTGTGGCATTTTCTGTACTGTTTTCAGCTGTGCCCCTATCCATGAACATGCCTAAAATCCAGTCTACCTTGGTGTTGATTAATGAAAGATGGTCATTAATCCTTTTCAAGACCTCATTTCAGAGCTTGGGCCTATAATTCCTCACATTTAGATTTCATTCAGACTCACTGAAATTTTTTAAAATTCAGGTTTGCTTTAGTTTATCTTCCGTGCCTGTGACTGAACAAGGTCAAACAGGTTTAAAGCCCTGCAGATGTCTCCACCCTTTGTCAATACTTGTTTACCAACATTTGTTTCTCCAGCTCTTTGATTATAGTCATCCTAGTGAGTGTGAAGTGCTGTGTCATTTTGGTTTTATTTTCAGTTTTTTAATGTCTGATTGATTATGTTGAGCATCTTTTCATGTGGTTATCAGGCATCTGAATATTAACAGTTCTAAAATGAAATTATAATTCTATTTTTTTCATCAGATGATAGAAACAAAATCAAACAGATTATCATCGCCAGAAAACAGAAAAAGAAATGATATAGACAGAGAAACAGATGGAAGAATACTATATGGACTGTTGGATACACCTTTGGAAAAAAGAGATGGAATACCAGAAAAAAAGGAAAAGACTTCAGAACTACAGTTTTCAGTGGAATGTAACATGAGTACATCCATGAGGAAAGATGAGGTGAATTTACCTTCTTCCATTTCAGCCACAGATGGTACAACCGTACTTGAACATCTAGAAGAGGAAAACTCAACTGTACCAGTTTTACTTTCTGCAGATCCAGGTACATGGCCTCGAATTTTGAGTATTAAACAGTGGGACTGCCTTGTTGAAAATGACCCTCCTCAAGTAAGAAATTTCAACTTTCCAAAAGACAGTACTGGGAGAAAATTTTCAGAAACTTACTATACGCGAATTCTTCCAAATGGTGAAAAAACTACTAGATCCTGGTTACTTTATTCTACCTCAAAAGATTCTGTGTTTTGTCTGTATTGCAGACTCTTTGGGGAAGGAAAAAATCAACTGAAGAATGAGCATGGGTGCAAAGATTGGCAGCATTTATCACATATTCTTAGTAAGCATGAAGAAAGTGAAATGCACCTTAATAATAGTGCTAAATATTCAAAATTTAAATCTGATCTAAAAAAAAATAAAACTCTAGAAGCTGCAGAACAAAGATTATGTAAAGATGAAAAAAATGATGATGTGTTACTGTTATACACCTAACATACCTGATTTGGTTTTGACAGACAATGTCTTACATTTATTAAAAATAAATACTTGTATCTTAACAGTCAGTACCTTATGTATTGTGAGGCTTTTCTACAGAATAAAGTACACAGTTGATTAGCAATAAATATGATAGTAAATAAATAGTAAGGAATGTTTGCAATTCTAGAGTTGCATTTAGTAGTCATTTAAAGTGAATTTCAATAAAATCCATTTTTAATTTTACCAGTTCAAACCTCTTTAACACTGACATTTGGCAGACTTGGTTGATTTTTCTCTTCTAGAACCCTTGTAAGAGGGGGAAAGTTTTAATTTCTTGATGTCAGTGTGAATAAGTATTCTCATTGTTACTAAAAAGAATTCAGAAACAGTTTAAGAACACAGAGATATCTACAGATATATAGCTTTTTGCTATTAAGACCAATATTTGTGATTTATTTCCTTTTTAATATAGTTGTTATTGTTGTTTTTAGCAAATCAGCATTTACTTTGAAGTGCTTAATTTTCATTTTATTGATTTGAAAATGTTAATTTGTAAATGTTTTAGCTTTTATTGTGGGAGCTGTAAACATAAAGAGTATATATTTTTAACAAATACAAGAAATGTTAAAATAAAAATATATTAAATTAACTTTCAGGTCTTTCTTGTGTGCTTTGTTTTTTTCTTTGAAAGTAAACTGCTTAACATTAACAAAAAGTTATTAAATGGTCAACAGTGTCTACAGTTCTACTCACTTAATAATTCTTACTTGCTAATTTCAGCTTTTTTGTGTGTGTGAGAAAAAAAAATTATATTTAGAGTAAGCCAGCTGGATTTATTTTAGATGATCCCAATTTTGTTGGCAACATCCAGAACATCATAGTCTAAAGCAAGTAAAACATAGGCCTTCTTCTCTCCATCAGGCCTTATGAAGACGTTGGCCTTAGCCACATAAGTGTCATAGAGCTTCTTTACAGCTTGTTTGATTTGATGCTTGTTGGTCTTGTCATCCACAATGAACACAAGTTTGTTGTTATCTTCTGTCTTCATGACTGACTCAGTAGGTAGGGGAAATTTGATGATGGCATAGTAGTCAAGCTTGTTTCTCCTGGGGATGCTCTTCCAGGGGTATTCGGGCTGCCTTCAGAGTCTCAGCATTTTAGGCTGCCAGAAAGTGGTGAAGGGCAGATCTTTTTTTTTTTTTTTTGTGGCTGTGGATGCACTTCAGGACTGCCTTCTTGGCCTTTAACATCTTTGCTCTGGCTTCAGTTTGAGAAGGGCAGGGACTTCCTTCTTCGCTTTTGGCGCCATCTTTGTAGAAATACATCTGTTCCCATTTTTATATATATACTGTTGTTGGTTTTTATGTGCCATCTGGTTGGAACTAGCTCATAGCTGACCCGTCCAGCAGGTTTTCAGAGGCAATAAATCACATGGGAAGAAGATTGCCTATCCTTTTCCAGTGGAACAGCTGGTGGATTTGAACCACATGCCTCTGGGTCATCAACTTTTTCTTTTTTTTTTTAATTGTTTTAATTTTTATTATTTTGTGTGTGTGTGCGCTGTCGAATTGGATCTGACTGATACAGGAGGAGATTGTCCCTCCTTCAACAGTGCATCTGGTGGATTTGAAGGGTCACCACCTTCTTACACTAAGCCACTGGAGATACTTGTATATACTAGTGTGTGTTCAAAGACTGCCATAAAACAAAATCACATATAAACAATGATTAGAGCAGAATAAGATTCAGTCTTCTTAGTGGGGTTGAAACTGAGAATACTTGTAAATTCTGCTACTGCATACTTCTTTTTTTTTTCTATAATTATATTTTATTAATTTTCATAAACATTTACAGAGATTTTGGGCTTCCACTCATTCATTGTTGCACTATTCTCTCTACCCTCCTCCCAGTTTGTTCTTGTCCAATTGCCACAGTGCTTGTCAAAGTCAGTTCTGATTAATCTTCTTTGTCAGTGTGTCCTTTGCCATTCCCTATCACTCCTCCCTGAGAGAGACTTCACCCTGATTCATAAGGAAAAGGGGATGGCGTATTCTCTTAGCTACTTCCTGCTGAAAAGGGACGCTGTGGGTTTCAGGGTTAAGATCTTCTCTCACTACTCTAAAGGGCCCCTTTGGCAGTAGGAAACACATAGACTATTATGGAGATTTATTTTGGAATTTAGATGGCTACTGCATACTTCTATCTTGGGGAAAACACAGAAGAATTACTTTAGATTTTTATTGTTTTGTTCTTTACCATTTTATTTTTTACAACTGGATGCTTAATCTTTAAAACTTAGATATGAATGAGGTTTGGGGGGTTTAAAAAATTCCGTTTATTTTTATAGGGCTATGAATATACACTCGATAATATAATAGTGGTTCTGACATTTCTGTGCAAAGTTAATGGACTAGTTATTTCATTAAAACTTGGCAGTCAATTTAAGAAAAAGAGTTATATAATTTCATCAGAGTCATTGGTTATCTGAACAAAGTATTTAAATCAACCACTGACTGTTAAAGAAATTATTATAAATACCAAATTGATACTCTGAGGAAACAGAGTTAGAATTTCACTTAAATTCATCCACATCTTGCACACGGGAAGGTACAGAAGGAAGTTTGGCCCTTTGTTCTGGGACCTTGCCACCATGCCATATGTATTTTGCATGACCAAGTTGTGAGACCAGTAAAGACTGCAAGACTAGATCTTAGAAACGGGCTAGACAGCATAAGCTCACAGGAAGGTAACACAACCAATCGCCTTTGGGACATGAAAGCTGTATGTTGGGACACTTTGAATTTTGCCCTATATGTCTCTTCATTTGTGTCATTTTTAAAGTTGGCACAGGTAAAATGTCTCTTATGGGTTCCTCGGCCATTCTAACAAATTATCATACTCCAAGGAGCAAGAGAAGCCTACTGTTGTGAAGTGGTCCAGAGCTTGCCACTAGTGTTCACTGACCCACATGGTGGGGAATGAGAGAAAGAAGGTCTGAATAGAGCAGCTGGGGTCTGAAGTATGCGTAAAAGGATAGCTGAGGTTTCTAAACAATGTCGTGGACGTGAGGAGTAGGATTTGATAACCTCTACACAATTTGGTATTAGAAGTGGGGACAATTGACACTGAGAGTAGTGTTGTTATTACCATTGAGTTGGAACTAACTCATAGCTGGCCCTCCAGCAGGTTTCCAGAAGTAGTAAATTGCACGAGAGGCAATTGCCAATCTTCCACAGAGCAGCCTTTGAGTAGGCAGCACAACTCCTTATCCTTAAGGCACTAGGGCTTCTTGACAGTAGTGTGAACTGTGAGAATCTTTGACTACACTGCTCAGATACCTACAAATCAAACTCAAACTTACTGCTGTCAAGTTGAAACCAATTCATAACTGAGCCTTCAGTCAGTTTTCATAAGACTGTAAGTCATGTGGAAAGAGATTGGCTATCTTTCACAGAGTCACTGGTACCTTCAAACAATCAGAGAAGTGCCACTGTGGGTTGGTAGCTTGACTCCCTGTAGACTAGGCCTCCAGTGCTCCCTTCAAGTATATATAGGAATTGATGAAATGTAAAAAAGTCACAGAATGAGGATGATAGGTTAAATGAGCTCACTAAACTGCTTTCAAGTTTTTGTTTGGAATTTTTCATGATAGCATGTTAAACGTTTAATTCCAAATATATGGAAAATGCTCTAGGAAAAGGAACAATTTAGAGAAACTGCTCTCTGCTTCTCATTGTCATTTCTTTTTCTATTACTAAATTAATGTACTGTCACTGTAAATAGGAAATAAAAATCCTCTTTACCCTCTCCCACCTCCCATGTACGAAATTTGTCATCAGTAATCTGGACTCTGATAAGCATTTGTTTTCAACTTTGACTTTCACTGAAAAAAGGCAGTGGAAAAATATTTACTATCAAATAAGGAATGGTAATCTCTGGCAGTCTTCAAAAATTAGCACTTATTTTTTTTAAAGTAAGCTAAAGCAGCTTTATTTAGGGGGTTCTCAGGCAGGATTCCTTGGTCTACGCAGGGAGACAGAGCTCAATATCAGCTGTGAAAACTAGGCCAGGAGCTGATTGTGGAACAGACCACCAACTACTCATATGCAAGTTCAAGCTGAAACTGAGGAAAATTAAACCAAATCCACAGGAGCCAAATTATGACTTTTATTTCAT